GAAAAGAGGAGAAGGACTGTGAAAGTCACGGGCTGGGCTCCAGCACTTGGCAAGGAGCAGCTGCCTGGAGGTCAGGGACTGGTTTTCCACTGCAAATTAATCGATGCATTAACATTTGTCTTCCCTGGGCTGCACGGTCCAACTGTGTATTAAGGACCTTGGGCTCCCATTCAGAGCTCACTCTCTGCCCCACGGCTCCTGCCCTGTCCCCCCCACATCCCCCAGTGCTTTGTTGCCCCACGGGCTCCTGCTGACCCTGCTGGGTGGGGGGACCCGTCCTGCTGCAGCTGAAGGGGTGTCTCTGCCCAGTCCCTCCTCTTTTCCCCTCAAGCCCCCTGCACAGAGCTCTCCCCCCAGAGCATCTTCATCTCTGAGCCCTGGTCCTCCTCTGCCAACCCCGGGGCCAGGCAATCGGAGAAGCATCGTTGCTCTAAATCAAGGCTGAAATGTCTCTGCAGCCACACAAAGTTTATAGCTTGAATTAAGAGCTATTAAGCCTCCGAGCACAGCTTCTTGGCAAGGGAAGAGGAACAAAGCAGGCTGCTGAGGGGGATGGGGAGATCAAGGGGCCGATGCCCTTTGGGAACAGAGAAGGGACACGCCAGGGACACGCGTGGGCTCTCGGTCTGGGGAAGGATCTGCCACAACACCAGCACCGTGGCTCCCGGGTGCCATCAGCACAACACCCTGCTCAGAATCCGCACGGATTCTGCACCCTTGGACCCTCTGTCCCGGACCCCGGGCTCCTCAGACAGAGGCCCCTCCAGCAGCTTCGCCTCTTGTATTTAATCAGACTTCTCATTTTTCCTTGCCCGAGCAATTCCATGGAAGCACTGATCTTTTGCATCGTTTTCATTTACAAGAGTTGGTAGGTAATTTTGGAGAAGTCCGTTTAACTGAGCAATTAGTGAGTCAATAATACACTCCCGTATTTTATTAGAAACAGAAAAATTGGTAATTTCTGTTTGTTTTGACCCTACCTCTGTAGTAATGGCAGCAATTTTCTGTAATGATCACAGTTACCATGGTTATATCTCCCTCCACATTGTCAGACACCTGCAGCAGAGAGACAGGGTCTCTGCATGAGCAGAGCCAGGGGTGATATGCTGGGGGGGGGAGGGGGGGGCAGCTGCTCTGGACCCCTGGGACCCCACATCCTCATCCTGCCCCAGCTCTGGTGCAGCCGTGGGCGCCAGGAGCCCCTGGGGAGAGCAGGGCACTGACCCCCACCTGCCCCACACATCCCTCCATGGCTGGTGGGGGGGCGAGGGGGCTGTGGGCTCAAACATGGTGTTTCCCTGGGGGATCTAGGGGCCAACAGACAAACAAAACCTTTATCTCGTGTCTCCTGGAGCCAGCCCACCATCCCCAAACTGCACCCAGAGCCAGGGCAAAGCACCAAGGAGAGAAGCCCAAGCCTCCTTCACACAGGGAGAATCACTGCGTCCCTCTACGTTTTTGCCTCAGGAGGACGTGTAAAGCAGAAAATTGGGATCTATTCCAGAAAGGCTCTGGGGAGCTGATTTTTGGAGAGGAAAGAAATTAAAGAACTGCTTAGCCGAATAGCTGAGCTAGTATTTTTCTATCCTCAGGAAACATCTTCCGTAATAATAGCATTAGTAATAATAACACCCCAAAGAAAATCCAAGTGGAAATCGTGTAGACTTGAGGACGCATGAAATCCCGGGGATGGTGTGAGCTGCCTGCGTGGGGCTGCCTGCGTCAGCGACACCCTCCTTGGCTGGAGACAGAGACATCTCTGCGGACAGGAGCGGCGCAGGAGGAGTAATCCCTCCTGATCAAAGCACTCCGATAAACCGCAAATTCTGTGGGTAAATGGAACTGCCCAGAAAATAACGAAACTTTGTGTGTGTCACAAACCACAGCTCCTCTGGTGGACCGCAAATTCTGTGGGTAAATGAAACCGCCCAGAAAATAACGAAACTTTGCGTGTGTCACAACCCACAGCTCCTCTGGTGGGGCTGTGAGCTCTGGAGGTGAAGACTCGATTTTCTCTCCGCTCTCTCCGTTTCGGAAGGCGGCTGACCCCGGTCTCAGCACATCTGGCCAGATGCCGGCAGCGCTCTCCAGAGGGGGGTTTAGCTCCAGCCCACGCTGACACGGAGGCCTGAGCTCTCCCTCTCCACAGCAAAGCTCCCAGCAAACATTTCTGGTGAATTTGGTTTTAGCCTATTCTCTATTTTCATTAGAAAGCGCAAAGGACCTGGGCAAGCTGCTGCCATTGAGTGTCCCTCCTAGAGCTTTCCAGATCATCTCAGGCTCCAGCGTTGTCCCTTTTCTGCTGAGAAGGCCTGGATGGAGCGATGCGTTGCCTCCGGATCCATGTGTGATGAGTTAGACCTCAACCAGATGAGCTCCCAGCAAACATTTCTGGTGAATTTGGTTTTAGCCTATTCTCTATTTTCATTAGAAAGCGCAAAGGACCTGGGCAAGCTGCTGCCATTGAGTGTCCCTCCTAGAGCTTTCCAGATCATCTCAGGCTCCAGCGTTGTCCCTTTTCTGCTGAGAAGTCCTGGATGGAGCAATGCTTTGCCTCCGGGTTCATGTGTGATGAGTTAGACCTCAACCAGATGTTACGTGGGCAGAAACACCTATTTGAAGTTAAAGGCCTGTGATTATACTTGCCAACCAGCCATTAAGAAAATGTTAAATGGGAAAATCATCCCCCCCCCCTTCCTGTTTCAATACAATAGCATCTTTATACACTTGTTTAAGTTGCCTACTTTTAATTTTAGTTCCCTTGTTTCTAATACTACTTGCAGAACCGTTTCACTTTATCAATAGCTCCTGTGATGTGGAAAAGTCAGGGAGGAAAAAAAAGTCAATATCCTTGAGAATTAGACAAAGGGGAAAAAAATAGCCAGAAGATCTTGCTTTCTCTTTCCTACTGTTAGCCTAACTTCTCAATTTACTTTATCAGATTGCCTTCCAAAGAGAAGTATTTTTCAAGAGGAGCAGAGATGAAAGGGGTTATTACTTACAGAGACTCTTCTTTAAAGAGATAAAATATCTGGCAATTAAGGCACAAGGAACTGCAGACTCACAAGGAAAGCAGAGACTTCACTGGAGCAGCCACATTAGCATATTTTCCACTAACCCTTCATTAGGGAAAGCGATAACATGGCTGCGTAGCGCGGCCGCTGAGGGGGGGTCTGTGTCCGGGGTGGGGGCTCAGGGCCACGAGCCATCTTGTGCTGCACCCACGGCCCCAGAGAGGGGACAATGGGGAGGGACAGCCCTTCTCCCAGGGCCACACGCTTGGAAATGAGGGGTTTTAACAACTTTCTGGAGGGGAGGGTCCAGCCGTCCATAGCGGCTGCAGGAACCTGCCCTGGAGGTTGGTGGAGTCTCCACCACTCGTCACCCTGAAGCCAAGGCTGAATTTTCCTGAAAATCTGTTAATTCTGAGGGAATGGCAGGGAGGGCAGAGAGCTGGACAGCCCTGGGGCTGGACCGCTGTGGGGACAGCCACAAAAGTGACAAAAAACCACTTTTCCCTCGTGGGCAGAGGGTTCCCTGCAAGCCAGGAGGGAGCCCAGGTCTCCTGCAGGGCAGGGGCTGGGGGGGGGGGCTGGCAGGGGCAATTAACACCTGACAATGCCACCAGCTGTGGCACAACCTTTGCTTTCTCCTACTGGGGTTGATAAATATTTAAACAAGAAGAAAACAAGTCAGTAAACACTGGTGGGGAGGGTGGTGACCTCCCGGTGTGTGTGAGCGGCAAAGCCTGTGCCGTGCCCGGGGGGTACCTGGGGGTGTCGGGGCAGGACCCCAGGGCAGAGGGGGTGCGTTTCCACCCCATGGTGAACAGAAGGTCTGTCCCAGCATCTCTGATGCTTTTCTCCTCCCCCGTGGTTATCAGGCAGCAGAGATGTGCAGGGTCCCTCCGAGGTGGCTCCCAGTCCCCTGTTCAGCCGGACGATGGCAGAGACTCATCTCCAGCGGGATGCTGAGCAGGGTGACCCCATCCCAGAGGGACGAGCTGTGGGGACAACGAGCGCCCACATCCTCCCCTCTCACCCTGAGGGCTCCAGGGGCACCTCGGTCAGGGATCCACAGCTCTCCATCCAACCTGCCTCCAGCCAGCTCAGGGCTGAACCGATCAAACACGGGCTCTTCGTCTATGTGTTTGTCACCAGATGAAGATAATGCCGTCCTGCTTTACGGGGGTTATTCCAACGATTAATTAGTAGATGTTTCTTGAAGTGCTTTGAAGATGTGGAGTGCCAGACAAGTGCTGCGCTCTAGAAGCTGATCAGTTATTTTTCCATTTTGCTTCTCGTTCCCAAAGTGTTCACCAAAAACCAAATTCCACATGAGCACGCGGCTGCTGGAGGCACTTGTCACGTTGGGACTTTTGCCCGCCCTCCTACCCGCGATTCCCAGTGTTGGTAAACACTTCCCAAAGGAGAGAAGCCAGACTCCCTGGTGCTCTCAGGGTCTCCCCCTGTGCCCCCACCATCCAGCTCCTGCGGCAGCGGCCGCCCCGAGAGAGAGACCCGGCCCCGGGGCTCCAAGGGGGTCCCGGCACAGGGGCTCCATGTCCCTCCTCCCCGGCAGGACGGAGCCCAGTGAGATGGATTTTCTAAATAGATTAAAACTCTGGATGAGCACGTGGTTCTCAGCACACACAGGGCTCTGGATGCCGCCGTCGCAGCGGCCGTGCCCTGTCCCACTCATGCCCCGGAGAGAACCTGCGTCTCAGGGGAGCCAGTGGCAGATTTTGCAGGGTTTGTTTTGGGTTAGAATATGGTTTCTGGTGCAGAATCATTACTGCCCCATCAATTTTAATTCAAGCCTGAGAAATCATTGGCATAATTATTTACAACTGTGCAATTTCTGAAAATTATATTTCTGTTACCGTAGTTATTGATCTTGAAAAGGTCTATAAATTAACTTGACAGTTCACATAGTCCTTCACACTTGGATAATTTCTCTGCTTGACTTGCACTGTGTGTTGAACTTTAAGCACCATCCAATTACAGTCATTCAAAGTGTGTATTTAAACATTTTTTCTTAAGCAACCAAAAGATATTTTAATTATAATACAGAAGAACTTGAAGCAAATACCAAGTCACCTCCACGTGGCAGGACATCTTGTCTCGAGGTGGCCGCGGGGGGATGTGGAATGGCTTTGTGTCAGCGTGGGGGTGGCACGGCCATGCCACAGCTCTGGGAGGGCAGGTGGCCCTGGGAGCCCCCTGGTAGCCCTGGGTCCTCTTACCTGGGAGGGGGGCCCTGAGCCAGCACCAGCAGGATGTGACCCCCTGGCCTCACCAGCTCAGCGTTTGTCCCCAGAATTGGTCTCTGATGGGAAAAAGGATGCTTAACAACACAGAAACACCTCACAATTCTCTCTCTCTGCTCCCAGGGCGCTGTGACAGGAACAAACCACAGCAAATCTGGGTTTCTGGGGGGCCCCACGGCATCTCTGGCCAGAAATGGGGAAAATCCCGCACCCTCCAGGGATGTGGGGCAAGTGGCACATGTGGGAAGGTCACCGCTGGGTGACACAGTGTGGTGGTCACACAGGGCTGTGCCCATGGCCAGCAATTGGGGATGGGGTCTTGAGGGCTCCCAGCACCTGCCCTGTCCTGTCCCATAGCCGTGGGGCTGCAGCCGTGGGGCTGTGACACAGGGATGGGAAGGGGCTGGGGGGACCCAGGGCCCTACGGAAAGGGGTTTGTGGCAACACTGTGGCTGCAGGGGAAGATGGCTGTGCTTCATCAGATGTGAACTCAGAAAATCAGCAACATCTGGTGCCTGCTGGCTAGGCTGCCTTCCCGGCATGCGAGGAAAATCTCCAGTTGTCCTCTCAGATTAAGGGATTTTGCTATTTGCTCACAGTTTTGTACATGCAAAGCAGGCTGGCTCTGGCCAGGCTCTGAGGTCCCATTGTGCAGCAGGAGCCAGCTCGAAGCCCAGGTGAAATCAAACCCAAACCCCCAGCCCAGCCCCTGTTGCCCAGACCCCAGCTCAAGGAGCCACCTGTGCTGTCTGCTCAGGCCACCCCACCCTCAGGAAGTGTCTTTCTTTTGGGGTGACTCTGGGGCAATGTGGAGCTTGTGGTTCTGACAACCTGGCCCCAGCACCCCACGCTCCCCCCCAAGCAGGCAGCTGCAGCTCGCTGCATAGTATTTATTTGTTATATTACAGAGAAGAAAAACCTTGTTAAATTAGTCCAGGTTTCTGCAGGGTGGTCCTGGGCAGGGATGCCTGGTGCCGGTGGGTGGAGGGGGCAGGGGTCCAGCATTTCATCATTTCACAGTGGTGGGAGATGCAGAGATGCCATCCCACGCCGGGGCCAGCTGTGCCCCGTGGGGTGGGATGGGCAGAGCCACGCTGGTCTGGGTGAAGTAGCTGGACGTGCGGGGACACCCTGCCCTGCCCCTCAGACCTCCAGCTTCTTCTTCATCTCCATGCGGTAGATGATCTGGTAGCCATCATCCCAGGCGTAGATCTGCCTCTCCCGGGGGCTGTACTTCATGCCAGAGTGGGAGCCATAGCGTTTGGGGAAGTAGACAAGGGAGGCATCCTCGGGGGCCAGCGTGCCACTGACGTCGAAGACACACTGCACACGGGAGCGGCTGGGCAGGGGGGTGTTGTAGACCACATGCAGTGCCCCACACACCACAAAAGCACCCTCGGCATTCTCCCGTGGGCACGGCGTGTCCCACATCTGCTCAATGTCCAGCGAGGTGGGGTCCAGCTTAGCCAGGCATATGTTCTTCTCGTCCTCCTTGGTGGCGTAGATGGCCCAGAGCCCCTCCTCGTCTGCCGCCACCTCGATGTAGGTGAAGGGGGAGAGCCCAAAGACGGGGATTTGCTCCTCGGCTGGGAACACCGAGCTGTCTACCACCGTCTTGTTGGCCAGGTTGAACTTGATCACCTGGAAGGGGCCCTGCTGGCGGATGTAGTAGAGGTGCCCATCATAGACAAGGTGCCCGGTGCCCACCCAGGGGTAGGGCAGCTTGATGCGGGCGGCCTTGCGGGTGGAGGAGTAGAGGGTGAACTCCCGCATGCGGGGAAAGACGTAGACCGTGTCATTGGCAGTGCCATCGAAGACGTAGATCTTCTCTGAGTTCCCTGCGGCATCCTTGGTCCAGAGTCCTGAGGTGCTGCCAAAACGCTTCAGGATCTTCATGGCTCTGATGCTTGCGATGGTGTCGCTGCAGTCTGCAAGAGCAGGGCAGTAGTCAAAGCCTGGAAGCCACCTGGCCCTGCAGCGGGGACTGCTCCCACCCTGTGCTGGAGTCACACAGGTCCCCCTGCGTCCCACCCCAGCGCTCTGGCAGCTGCTGAAGCTGCCCTCAGGCAACCTGGCTGAAGAGGTTGCAGTGCTGTCCCTGGTGACATCAAGAAGTCCCCTTATGCACCTGTGCCACAGGCAGGGGAAGCCACTCCTACCCCAGCCCTGCTCCAAGGGCTCTGGAGAAGCCCAAGGCTCTGGCCTGGGGCTCGGATGTTCTCCCATTTTGTGCCAGAGATACCCGAGAGCTGCCCTGCTGGGACTCAATGCCACAGCATGTGGCAGGGGAGGCCTGGACCTGGGTGGGATGGAAAGGTAACCCCACACCCAGGACCATCTCCCCAGGGAGCCGCAGCAGCCCCTCACCTGTCAGTTTGGTGTACTTCTCGTTCTTCCTCTGCTTGGCTGTGGCCACCTGCTTCTCCATCAGCGTCTCATCCACCTCCACGCAGGGCGGTGCGGGGTTCTGTGTCTCCAGGTAGTCCACCTCACGCTCCAGGCGGTCCACACGCACCGCTGCGTTCTCTGCCTCCGACCGCATTGCCTCCCGCTCCTTCTCTGCTGTCTCGAGCATCCCCAGCACCTGGTTCTTGAAGTCCCGCAGCTCCGTGGAGTAGCGGCTGCTCTGGTCGTGCCACTGGGAGATCCTCTCCTGGGGCGGCCAAGGGGACACTGAGGACTCTGCACTTCACAACCCCTCCGTGGCGGCCATCCCACCACCTGCGCGTGGCTGTGGGAGCCCCCGAAGACAGGCAGCACCGCAGCCCTGCTGCCCATGTCTCCGGGTCCCATCCTGCCACGCTCCTGCACCCACAATGTTCCCAGCCCCATGATGTCCCCGCTCCCGCCATCCGCCCGCCCCACGGCGCTCCCATTCCCATCACGGTCCCTGTGCTGCTGGTGTGGGGCCCGGGACACCCCACGGCAGCTCCGCTCTGCCCCGCTCCCAACTCCTCCTTGCCTGGGCCTGCTCCGAGGAGGAAAGACCCCATGGCGTGGACGATGTGGGGTGAAGCCCTTACCTCCAGGAGGGTGAGGCGCCGCTCCATGTACTCCATGAATTGCTGCTGGGAGCAGAGGGCCGTGGCGAGGAGAGGCAGGAGGAGCAGGCAGCGCCAGGGCCCCATGGCTGTCGGAGAGTGCAGCCTCCACCTCAGTGCTCAGGAATGCTCCAGCCTCTGCAGCCCTGATTGAATCCAGATGTGAAGAGGGGAGGAGAGGCTGCTCCTTCCCCGCAGACCAGCCCCAGGCGCCTTAACCCCTTCGTGCCCTGCGTGGTGCCCACACCGGCCCCACATGGCGCCGGGGAGGTGTGGGGCTGGGGCAGGGGCCTGGGGATGGCAGGGAGCGCTGTGGCAGGTGGGGAAGGACGTGGCTTCTGGTGCCAGGGACAGCACAAGTCACAGTGGGGACAGCCCGGGGGACAGCGTAGGGCCAAGCTGGGCCTGGTGTGAGGCTGTGGGCACAGCCACAGCCTTGGCTCCTGGCCTGCAGAGATGCCCAACCTCAACTTGTCTCAGCCACAGGCCAGGGCTGGGGGAGTCCAAGCTGGGGCAGCACCAGCCACCCAAGCCTGTGGCACCCCCTTGTCCTGGCTGCTAGAGCAGGGAGCTCCTGCCTGCCCCCACCTCACACCAGCATCCCGCGGGCTCCCCCCCACGCAGAGCCCTTCTGAATTTCACTGAATTTCACTGAATTTTTAGAGTTGGAAGGGACCATCTAGTCCAACTCTCCTCGGGGCAGGGGCCTGGGGATGGTGGGGAGCACTGTGGCAGGCGGGGAAGGATGTGGCCTCTGGTGCCAGGGACAGCACAAGTCACAGTGGGGACAGCCCGGGGGACAGCGTAGGGCCAAGCTGGGCCTGGTGTGAGGCTGTGGGCACAGCCACAGCCTTGGCTCCTGGCCTGCAGAGATGCCCAACCTCAACTTGTCTCAGCCACAGGCCAGGGCTGGGGGAGTCCAAGCTGGGGCAGCACCAGCCACCCAAGCCTGTGGCACCCCCTTGTCCTGGCTGCTAGAGCAGGGAGCTCCTGCCTGCCCCCACCTCACACCAGCATCCCGCGGGCTCCCCCCCACGCAGAGCCCTTCTGAATTTCACTGAATTTCACTGAATTTTTAGAGTTGGAAGGGACCATCTAGTCCAACTCTCCTGCCAAAGCAGGACCACCCAGAGCTTGTCAGATCATGCCACTCAGGACGGCATCCAGGATGGTCTTGAAAATCTCCAAAGAAGGGGACTCCACACCCTCCCTGGGCAGCCTGTTCCAGGGCTCCGTCACCTAAAAAGTTCTTCCTCATATTCAAGTGGAACCCTTTATGTTCCAACTTTGTGCCCAGCAGCTTGGATGCCAGCCATTTGGGGGGCTGTTTGCTCAGCACCGGCTCCTGAGGCTGCCCAAGAGCTGGTGCGGAGCCACACGGCAGGTCCTGGTGCTGGTCAAGGGATGGTAGCCAGCCCCTGGTGCAGCAGGACAGAGGCTGCAGTGCTGTGCCCAGGGGCAGCCAGGCCTGCAGTTGTGCCAGTGTCCCACCCAGTCCAGCCATTGCCCGTGGTTTTCCCTGGCTCTGCCGCTGCAGCTCTGCACGGCTGATGCTCGGCCACATCCATGTGCCGGGCCGCAGTGCTGCGCGCAGGGCAAGTGTGCCATCTAGTGCTCCCGCATCCCGCGGGCCTGGCACAGCGCAGGGTGCTGGAGGAGGCTGCCGCGCTGGCAGGGTTTGGGCTGGGCCCAGCACCTCCATGCTGCATTTCATGTGAGGCCATGGCTCATGGACAGAGGGCTTGGGGTGCCAGCGAACACAGCTCGCCCAGGGGTGCCAGCGAACACAGCTCACCCATGGGCCAGGGCGCATCTCTTCCTGCCCAGGGCACATCTCCACCTGCCCAGGGCATGGACGCTGGGTCCTTCAGTTCTTTTGGGGCCATTGAGCCCATCCCCGGCACCGAGCGCCATCAGGAGCTCAGCCCACCCCAGCGATGGAGCACCTTTGGGCAGACACTGGTCTCTCATCTCTTGCCCCGCTCCCCCGGGACTCGCTCTGGGCTGTGCCAGGGCACGGAGGCTGTGGGGTCCGGGGGTCCCTGGGCTGCCATGGGGGGTGCAGGGTGTCCCCCACAACCAGGGTGTCCCCCACAGCCAGGGACTCACACCAGACCACGGCCTTGGCAGCCGTTTCCTTCTGCCCCAGCGAGGACAGGGCACCTGGGAAGAGCCCTTCACTCTCCTCTCCCAGAGGCTTTCTCTTTTCCACTCCCTTTAACAGACCAAGCGACCAAATGAATAGAGTACAGAAAATTAACCCTTTTTATTGATGCATTGCAATTGTTCTACATTTTTTACCATATTATGTAGAAAATACTTAAAATACAAGCTACTTTGTAAAACCAAAGACAAACATTGAATCCAAAGATAAACTATGTTTTCACAATGGACCCTTTTCCCATATAGTTAGTATTAAATTTTTAAATATCTATTTCTTTTGTTAAAATGATTTTTACATACCCCCTAAGTACATCAGCAATACAAACATAGATCAGTAATTGTCAGAAACTACCTGTATCTAGCGGCTTGTAAAAAGGAAGAGCACAACCATAAAAGAAAGTTAAATTTTACACAGTAACTAGCATATCAAATACATTTAATAAAGTAGGAATTCCATTGCAATATCAAGGATTCAAGCAGAAATACTAACATTACATATAATGTACTGCTACATGTAGTGAGATAGATATATTTCAAGCTGAATCTGAAATCACACATTATATAAAGTTTAGCAACAAACAACCATGTGGACATGCGGCACCATTCAGGAGTTTAAATAAAAAAAGAAAGCAGGGCTGTGCCAATCCTGTCATTTAGAAGCAATTTAGTTTCATGAACTAAAAGAAATTGCTGAGTCAGAGGTAAATTACTGCATCCCATCAACGAGGTGCTGAGCAGGAAGCCTCAGAAGTCGCCTCTGCGGTGGCTACCACAGACCAGACGGACCGGTCCAGCTGGGACCACCACTATCAGATATTCAAAAGGGTGAATCCCAAACTAGTTTTTAAAAGAATGAAAGGACTCCAATTTTTATCCAGAGATAGCACATTTCTTTACAAAATATGGGTAGTGGCTCTGCCAATGAGAGTCAATTCTCTGACCTGATTTGGAGGCTGGAGAGGTGCGGAAGAAGGGATGGGTCTCCTTAGAGCAGAGCACAATGACTCACATCGGGCAACAAGTGCTGGTCAGAGCAGGATCCCAGCACCAGGAAAAGCCAGATCCTGCTGGGAAGGGGGCCCTTCCCTTGGATTATGCCCGGGATCACAGAGGAGTTTCAGGGTAATCATCAACTTGTTTGAAATGAGGCACGTTTCATTTCACCTATGTCATTTCCATCTCATCCTCCTTGTTCCAATAGTTTTGGAAACGTGGGGAGTGAGAGAGATGACACTGTGCTTTGTGAATACATTTGATTGGGTTTCCTTATCTGATAGGGACTCCAAAGACAAACGGTCATCTTAATCTGCTTAAAATGGGGGAAGTGGGCCATTTCTTTGCAAAATTATTAGCAGATTTTGCTAAAGGTCTTTTTTTCCTGTTAGGATTTCACAGAAAACACTCTACTATTTGTGAAACGGGGACTGATTCCTGAGGTTTTCCTAAACCTAAACCTCAGGAATCGGAGCTTGTTCTGCCTTAATTCCTGAGGTTTTCCTAAACCTCAGGAATCGGAGCTTGTTCTGCCTTTGAATGGAAAGGCACAACTCTGTCCCCGAGAGGCACCTCAGAGCCGTACTGAACACGAGCAATGTCACACGAGAGAAAGCAAGAAAAGTGCCCACAGCAACAGAGAGCATCGTCCACCGCGGGGACGCGGCACAGCAGGACCGGGGTACCCACACCCCCACAGAACTGCTCCCACCAAAAACACACCCAACAACAACTTGGCCAACACGACCGCCCAGTCCAGTCCTGGATCCCTCTACTGAAAGAGATGCCAAACCTTTACCAGTTCAGCCATTTCAGGTCAGTCCAGACTTTCTTCTCTCAATAATGTGGAATTTCAGAAATTACTTTTGCAGTTCTTGTCACATACTGGTCAGAGAACTGGCCTCTTCTCCACTGGGACGGCACAGAAACTGGGGTTCAAGGTTACCAAAACCTCTTATTGCTGCAGCGATACCACCGCTCAGGCCAGTTTATCATCCACTTGGACAAGATACTTAATCTATGTACTGAAGATGAGAAATAATTCCTAGTACAAGGGACTCGAGAAAACAAAGCGTAGTTTAAAAACTGCACTGATTATCCAAAATGAGCATTTCCTCTGAACACTAACTAGGGCTACAGCTGACAAACCTTCCCAACAACTCCACATTAGCAGTAGCATTATAAAACTTTTAAATGGTATTATGTGCTTTACAGCAGGCTCTCTTTGGTATAAATATCCTATCACCAAGCTAGCAATATTTTACAAGAAACGTCTGCTATTAATGTGGGGGGAAGGTAAACGCCATACTAATCTAATAAAAAGTGATTGCACATATTTAATCACTTCTGCAATATTAGACTAAACATTCCAATGCATTCCCAGCACTACCTTATTCGAAATGCACTGACAGACATCTAACAGTACATGTGCCATTTTCAAGGAAAAGCTTTAAGGAAACATCGCTTCACTCCGAACAAAAATGTAGCTTTTTTTTTTTTTTTATGATAGCGTTAAAACCGAGAACAACGCACCTACGCGACATAACGGCTGTTCTTTGCTGTGAAAAAGCTCAGTGAATTGCTTCAATTCGACGGGGGCTTGCTGGTCCCTCCTAAGGCAAGCGCACTGTAAACTCTAGTCACACTACATCATCGGTTAAGGCACTACAATGAGGGGACACACCAGACAACTCTTCGTCACACACACCTGTGCAAAACAAATCAGAAGGAATCCTTTCCTCGCCCCAAGCTCCGCTCCTCTCCCAGTGCTACAGTGATGAGCTCTAACCATTGCATTAGATCACATACATTCCAACACGAACCCATTCATTTTGGTTTAAATACAAAGGATACATCAACTCCATCCCCAGGAACGTTTAAGAATTAGACAAACACTAAGTACAGAGTTCAAGTATAATCACTACACGTTTTGATTACAAAGACAGAACATTTGGGGTTAGC